CTGTATCTTTAGGCACCGTTCCCTGCTCCTGAATTTATACTCTGTGTAATCTGTCTTGTTAGTGCTGTTCTTTGCCTTTTCCCTGCACAGGTTACCGCATCTCTTACCTCATGACAGTAACATGAATGTGATGATCCCCTTGCTATTGTTTCTTTTATCTGATATTTCAGAGTCACTTAAATCACTTAGAAAAGAGTGAAAGGACAAGAAGTAAAAGAACCATTTCTCCCAATACAGTTGGGGATCTTAGACCTCTCAATGCTGGAAAGATCATCTGAAAAGGATATGATCTAAGTCTATTCAATATTATTTAAAAGCACCTACCTGTAAATACTTACAAAATACTAATATTAAAAATGGCACTTGGGGACCAGCAGTTAGCATAATGGCTATGTCACTGAACTCCCATGTACTTGACCATAGCTCGAGTCCAGGACGTGGTGGCATAAACTCACACCGGGTGCGTGGAAGAGAAGGGACTGCGGCGTGGCCACCACCCAGGGTGATTTCTTGCTTTCTGTCTGTCTTTCTCTCTCTGTCTTTCTGGTGAGCATGCATGCCCTACAGAAAAAAAAAAAAAAAAAACCCCCACAAAAAAAAAAAAAAAAAAAAAAAATTCACCCAGAGCAGCCTTGAGGGCCAGCCCTGGAACTGGAACCCGGACTCTTGATTCTAGAAAGAAGGGTGTGAACAGCCCACAGGGGGGTGTGTGGCAGTGTGTGGGTTCCCAGAGGCGAGGGGCCCACAGTGGGGACTCTCCTAGGAAGAGATGCAGAGCAGGAGCCTGAATTTGCCTGGAGGGTGAGGCTCTGGCTGCCAGGTGGCTGGAGCAGGGCCGGCGTGGCTGGGCAAGCCGACGTCCGGAGCCTCAGCCCTGTGCTCCCTCCTCTGCAGCATCCTCTTCGCCGACATCGTGGGCTTCACGCAGCTGTCCTCTGCCTGCAGCGCCCAGGAGCTGGTGAAGCTGCTCAACGAGCTCTTTGCCCGCTTCGACAAGCTGGCGGCCGTGAGTACCGACGCCTCCCGGCTTTCAGGCTGGGGCCACCCAAGGCCTGCGCCTGGCACCCTGCCCCGCTGCTTCCTCCACCCACACCCACCTGCTTTCTGCCCCCCCTCCACACCCATGCCTTGCCCTTTCAGAAATACCACCAGCTGCGGATCAAGATCCTGGGCGACTGCTACTACTGCATCTGCGGCCTGCCCGACTACCGGGAGGACCACGCCGTGTGCTCCATCCTCATGGGGCTCGCCATGGTCGAGGCCATCTCGTGAGTGGGGGCTCCTGAGAGCGGCCTGGCCTGTGGAGAAGTGGGCCTTCCCCGCCCGTCTGGCTGCATGACTGCCAGGCCCTCTGGGGGAGTGAGGCCGCTGGAAGTGGTGTTGGTGGACGGGGGCTCGGCTGGCCGGGCAGTGGCTCTCAGCTGGCAGCACACAGCTGAGGGGGATGCCACATGGAGACCTCGATGGCCTCTGGGCCAGCTCCCCCAGCCCTAGGCTGTGGTATTGTTTTCTGCCGGAAGTTGCAGTAGGAATGCATGATCTACTTCACATTTGCTAGGGGCCCTCTCGAAAGGGTTCTCCCATGAGCCACCCCCCAACCCCCCCTCCTCAGGCTGATAGGACTAGGGACTGCCTTCCCCATGCGGTAATGCAGTGACTCTGAGGTCACACGAGATGTCAGGAAGGCAGGGAGGGGTCTGCGCCTCTGCATGCCAGGCAAGGCTGTGCCCCCCGCCGTGGGAGGCGATGGAGCTAACTGCATTCCCCCACGGTCACTGCTGCAAGTGGGCTTAGACTCCTCGGAAGGGCAGCGCGTCCTGTTGGCTTAAGGGCCTGGTGACCCGGGGCATATCGAGCTCAGAGTGAAAGGGTGGTGGTTAAGGTGCTGGAATTCCGACATGGCTGACCGTGGTTCAAGTCCTGGACCTGGCGGCTTCCTTTCTCATCCTTCCTCTCTGTCTTTCTCTGGCAAAATTCATGTGAAGATAATAATAAATAAATAAAATAATAATAATTTTTTTGAGAGGTTTTTGCTATAGGGTGTGTGCGCTCGCCAGACAGACAAAAACAGAGAGACAGAAAGCAGGAAATCACCCCCCAGGGGAGGTGGCCACGCCGCAATCCCTTCTCCTCCATTCTCTTCTCGGGATCTTGGGCACGCACGCACACGCGCCTGGCGTGAGTTTAAGTCACCGGGTCCGGGACTCGAACCGCGGTCGACTACGTGGGAGTCCAGCGACATAGCCATTACGCTAACTGCTGGTCCCAATAAAATAATTCTTTAAAAAAAAAGAAAGGGGGCTTTCCCCTTCCCACAGGATGGAATCCAGGAAGGGGAGGCAGTCACCACGGTCCCTGGGGATGCCTTTGTGTTTTTAACCGTCTCAGGCTCAGCCCTCTCTAGTATCAGCCTGGAAGCAGCAGGTGCTGCCTTTTCCCTAGGGCAGCAGCTCAAGATGAGGAGCCTTAGCCTCCAGTCCCTTCCCACCAGGAGTTTCCCGTTTGTCTCTTGCTGGAATTCTCATTTGCGATGCTGCTCATTGCATATCTTATTCATTTCTGTGTCTGCAGCTCCTAGCGCATGCCTGGCACAGAGTAGATGCTCAGTGAAACACCAGCTTCAGGAACGAGTGAATGCTTGGAAGAGAGAAACTGGAAGTCTCTCTGGGGAAGAGAGGAGGGAGAAAAGATGCACTCATTATCCCCATCCACCCATGCCACCGGCCTGTGATTCCACAGAACAGGGCTCCGGCCTGGTCTGCTTTAACTCAGCTCAGATGCAGACAGAAACCTGGGCGGGAGTGGGGTGGCCAATTACCGGGCCTCCTTGGCCTGGAGGGGAAGAAAGCCCACGCAGAATCTCCTGCGGTGGGATGGGGTGGGCCACCGTGCTGAGGGCTGTGTGCCCACCCCTCCCTTCTGCGTGTGCCTGGCAGGTATGTGCGGGAGAAGACCAAGACCGGTGTGGACATGCGTGTGGGGGTGCACACGGGCACCGTGCTGGGTGGCGTCCTGGGCCAGAAGCGCTGGCAGTATGACGTGTGGTCTACGGATGTCACCGTGGCCAACAAGATGGAGGCTGGCGGCATCCCTGGGTGAGCGTTCCTTCCACATGGGCAGGTGTGAGGACCAGGGAGGCTGTCCCATCCAGCCTCCGGGCTGTGGCGCCAGTGAGCTCCAGGCCTCACGGGCTTCCCACCTGGGAGCAACATCCTCCTTCTCGGCCCTGCCTGGCTGAAGCTGTGCTCAGAGTCCCCCAGGAGGGTGCCTGCCTCCTTGGGTCTGATGTCGGCTGCAGCTCCTCCCCTGGACCCCTGCAGTGGTCTGCTGTCTGACCCCACGGGTGGCTGCCCCGGCTCTGTGATGCCACAGCTCAGGTCTCTCCAGAGGGTGGAATTACTAGCAGCACAGCCCCGGGCAGCACCCTGGCTGACAGTACTTCTACAGAATCAGCCCAGAGTTGGGCAGGGCCTGGCCTTACGGTGGGCAGGCCAGGGAGGGTCAGCCAGCCATCCCCGCTGGGCCAGGCCACTTCCTTCAAGTTCAGATTCCCTCCCTTGGTGGTGGCCCCTGGCAGCAGGAGCCGCAGATGAGATGCAGACTGTAACGTCCTGCCTCACCCCACTGGTATTCCCGTTTTACGGTTTGGAGGGGAATAGGTGCCACGCTGCCCCTGCAGCTAGTTCGTGACAGGCTGTTTCCATGCGCCCCACGTGCCCGGGAGGCGTGGGCCCGAGTAGCAGCCAGGGAACTGTGGCCCACTGATAGTCCACGGGCGTGGTGACAGCTGCCACTGGCCCACACTGAGGGCCCATCTCGCTGCCACGCAGGCGCGTGCACATCTCCCAGAGCACCCTGGACTGCCTGAAAGGAGAGTTCGACGTGGAGCCGGGTGATGGGGGCAGCCGCTGCGATTACCTAGATGAGAAGGGCATTGAAACCTACCTCATCATTGCCTCCAAGCCAGAGGTGAAGAAAACCGCCACCCAAAATGGCATCAATGGCTCGGTGAGTCCCCCATCCCACCCTGGGCCACGGAGTTGGGGTTAAGCTGTTAAGAGAAAAGAGAGATTGTGGAAGAGTTGGCAGGACACGAAGATGGCTGACTGAGGTGAGGGGTGGGTTGGCACAGATGACCAGAGGCCTGCTGAGTGGGGGGCTAGGGGTGGCCTCCTTTAGGGGAGAACTGGTTTCTGGAAGACAGCATAATCTGCGGCAAGCTGAAATTGGGGTGACCATAGTGTGTACCGAGACGGCGTCCAGGTGGCGGCACTGGTCACGAGCAGTGGCTGGGTCGGGGATAAGGTCTCCTGCACGGAGGAAGTGGCTGGAGCCACAGGAGTGACATGCACAGAGCGTGGCCGCGGTGGTCGTTGAGAAGGAGGCGATCCAAGCAGGGAAGTTTTCCCGAGTGAGGAAAGAAGATAAGATGGGATGGAAACAGTGATCCCTCTGTGTGGTTCTGCCCCCGGTCTGGTCTTTGTGTGTGCCCCCACAGACCTGAGGAGCTCACAGCCTCCCTGTCCGCCACCCACAAGCAAGCTCCTGACAGCCCGTCGGGTTAGAAGCCACCGGTGGCTGTTGTAGAATGATCTCTGTACCATCCTGTGCTGGCTCCGAGAAATGTTTTATTCCTTGTCATTGATCACTTAAAAACCCATTGAGCCAGTCCAGGGACCAGCAGTTGGTATTATGGCTATGTCGCTGGACTCCTATGTAGTCAACTGTGGTTCAAGTCCTGGACCAGTGGCTTAAACTCATGCTGGGCGCATGTGCGTGTGTGCTCAAGATCCTGAGAGGAGAATGGGGGAGAAGGGATTGCAGTGTGGCCATCCCCCCGGGGGGTGATTTCTCGCTTTCTGTCTCTCTGTCTCTCTCTGTCTTTCTGGCGAGCGCATGCGCCCTATAGCAAAAACTCAAAAAAAAAAAAAAAGAAAAGAAAAGAAAAGAAAGAAAGAAAGAAAGAAAGAAAGAAAAAGAAAGAAAGAAAGAAATTCTTCAAGCCAGTCCACGGTGTGGTGGTTGAAGCAGCCAGATCCCACATAAGATTCCACTCAAATCTACTGTGTGGTTTGAGTCACAGACAGACCCGGCGACTTGGGAAACACACCGCGCGTGTGTGTGTGTGTGTGTGTGTGTGTGTGTCCAAGCTCGCAAGAGGAAAATGGAGAAAGGATTGCAACATGACCACACCCAGAGGGGGATGCTTTCCCGCTTTCCTTCTCTTTCTCTCTGGCAAGCACACATTTCCTCTGGCAAACCAAACCAAAGAAAAACAAAAAACTCATTCTTCCAGTCATACAAATCCATCTAGAATCTCTTAACCATAAGGAGTTGGGTGACTCTCAGGGATAGTCTATCAGGACCATCCCATGCCGAGGCTTCGCCTAAAGCAAAGCTTACCCCGCAGGAGTGAGCGAAAGAAGTAACTCTTGGTGAGGTTTTCAAAGAAAACTAAATGCCTCTCCCGCCACCCAGACGTGTGTGATGACTAGCAAGTCAGTCAGATGGACACGGGAGTTCGCCCATTGTCAGATGTGATGGTAACCAGTGTCTATTCATCCCTTACTCTCACTTAATCTTAGCACAGCCCTGTGGAAAGGCTGCTGTTGCCATGCCCACTTTACAGAGGAAGAAACTGAGGCCCAGAACCTCCCGTAAGCTGCAGATTAGTATGCAGAGCTGGGATCAGAGCCCAAAGCCTGTGTCCCAGTCCTGACAGTCACACTGAATCCCAGCTTTCTCCAGTCCCCTGTGTGCAAGTCACTCTAGCTTGGCCAGAAGGAATGCAAAGGGGGGTGTGACAGATCCCTCTGGAGCTGAGTATCAGAGCAAAGGACAGTAGAGCGTACTTTGAGTTAAGAGTAAATTTGGAGGGAACCAGCAGTTAGCGTAATGGCTATGTCGCTGGATTCCCGCGTGGTCGACTGCGGTTCGTGTCCCGGACCTGGTGGCTTAAAACTCACGCCGGGCGCGTGTGCGTGCGTGCCCAAGATCCCGAGAGGGGAATGGAGGAGAAGGGATTGCGGCGTGACCATCCCCCCTGGGGGGTGATTTCTCGCTTTCTGTCTCTATGTCTCTCTCTGTCTGTCTGGCGAACGCACGCGCCCTACAGTGAAAATCTCTCTCAAAAAAAAAAAAAAAAATAGTAAATTTGGAGTTACAAAAAATGCTCCAAAGACTTTAGAGAAGGGAAAAGCTATCTTTCAGAAAATTAGGAAATTTCAAGATGGGAAGTAGAACCCCAAGAAATAAGACTTGTGTTTACCACCAAATTAATGTGAGTCATTCATATTTTTAAAGATTTTTTCCAAAAAAGTATTTATTTATTATTATCTTTTTCAGTTTGTGATAGGCACATGTGCTCACTAGAGGGGCAGGGAGAATGAGAAAGCAAGCCACCAGGTCCAGGACTTGAACCCCAGTTGGCCATGTGGGAGTTCATCGCCAGCCACCTGTTGGCCCCAAGTCATTTATATTTTTGAGGGTGCTAAATGCAGAACTTCTATATACTCACTAGAGCAAATTTAAAATGTATGTTTTTACAGCTATTCTACAAAAGTTGACAGTAATTTAATAAGCTGTTTTTGAGAAGTGATAGGAAATTCATTATTACTGGCATAAAAAAACTTATAAATTAGGAAAAATATTTTTAAAAATTATCCACAAATTTGCTTTTTTTAGGGACTACCTTAAAGTCACAGAGTGGTAGTCAAATATGTGTCTGTGCGATCACACCTCATTCTTGTTTATTCTGAAATTATACTGTACTTTGCTTTACTAATTTTGTTTAAGAACCCCTTGTGTGGTGCATCATTTAAGTCAGGATTGTTCTCAGCACGTGACATCCTGAGGGTTATGGGTGAGGGCCCCGAAGCACAGGAAGCCCTGCCTGGCAGAGCTGTTCCTGGGAAGCTGTTGTGCCTGAGTCACGACTGCACTTTTTGGGGGGCGGGGGGAGAGTTTTTCGCTATAGGGCACGTGCACTCGCCAGACAGGGAGACAGAGAGACAGAAAGTGAGAAATCACTCCCCAGGGGGGAATGGCCATGCCGCAATCCCTTGTCCTCCATTTTCCTCTCGGGATCTTGGGCACGCACGCACACACACCTGGCATGAGTTTAATAAGCCACCGGGTCCAGGACGCGAACTGCGGTCGACTACATGGGAGTCCAGCGACATAGCCATTATGCTAACTGCTGGTCCCACGACTGCATTTTTAAGTCAGGGAGAATCCAAGTGCACTGATTCATAGCTCGAGGCCTCACACAGAAGCTCGGGGGAGCCGTGTGCACCGGGCCCCAGCACCTCAGATGCTGCCTGCATAGGAGCAGAGTTGACAGTTGTTGAATGAATTTAAATTAGACCTCGTTTTTCTTTTTAAATACTTCACCAACCTGGGTGGCTCGTTTTCTAAGACCTCTTTCACTGATATTTTGGGAATCAGTGATATTACCATTTGGTCATCTGACATTTTGGGTTTGGGGCCAGCTAGGTGGCCTGGTGTTGAAGGAAAGTTGGCTCCCATATTGCAGCCACAGTGCATGTGTACCCCCAACCTGGCAGGATGGAGAAGGGACTGTCAGCGTGACCGTGCCCCACTGGTGTTAGTTCTCCCTCTTCTCTGTCACTCTCTGGCCAGTGCACAAACCCTCTGACAACTATAAACAAAAAAAAAAATGGTTTTCAGTGTTTTTGTAAACACTGAAATCTTTACAAAACATTACAAAAAAAAAAAAAAACACATTAAAATTAACTTTTAACAGGGCCAGCAGGTGGCATGGTGGTTAAGGTGCTGGACACTCCCACATGGTTGACCATGGTTTGAGTCCCGAACCTGATGGCTTGCTTTCTCACGTTCCTCCTCTCTGTGTGTCTTTCTCTGATCAAATGAAAATGAATGAATAAATAAACAAAATTAAATGAATAATTTTTAAAAAATTAACTTTCAACAATTTCTTAGTGCCTCTCACAGGAACACAAATTTCTAGCAGTGAAATGCTGGCTTAAAAGTGATGTACGTTTGAAGTTCACCCCATGCTGTCAGCTCACTCCTGCACCTTCTCAGTGTCCTTGCCACCACTGAACTAGGGAGTTGGCATTATCCTGGCTGGTGTGGAAGACATAACTACGATACCTCACTGTTTCGATCTTACTTCTTTAATTATTAGTGGGGCTGAGCACTCCCCCACACATTTGCCAGAGGGCATGTGTGCTCGCAGGTCCCTCCTCCATTCTCTCAGGATTTGGGGCATGCAAGCACAGATAGAGGCTTGGTGTGATTTTCAAGCTGCCAGGTCCAGGACTCCAACCATGGTCAGCCACGTGAGAGTCAAGCACCTTAACCACCATACCATCTGCTGGCCTGGGGACTAGGCACTTTTAATAAGGTTGTCAGCCAGCTGCTTTTCTTGTGAGATGCATATTCATGTCAAACCTTGGGTGGCTTTCGCCCTGCTCTGGTTTGTAGGAGCTCCTTGTTTATCAGATAGGTCTGAGGCAGGCCTTTCCTTAAGCCTACTCTTAGGGAACTTAGAAGTCTAGCTGTGCAGATGATACCAGTTGTCTTAGTACTGGGCTGCGGGCTGCCCTGATAAGTGAACAGTTTATCACGACTAAGCTGTGATTAGCCTAACGATTGTTTACAGAGTCTCCAACTTGAGGTAGACTGGGATAAGGCAGTATTAGCGCGTCACCAAGCCTGCTCAGGGCACAGTCAGGGGGAGCCAAGGGGGAAGGACATGTTACAGGGAAGACGATGCAGAGAGGAGATACAAATGATAATGGGGAGAGGGAAGGAATACTTTACCTTTTTGGAAGTCACAGACTCTCAAGCTCTAGTGGGCAGATTCCTGATTGAGTAGACCAACCACAGGCTGGGGTGGGCAGCTGGCAGGTCTGAGGTCCTCGAGGGCTACTCCTTTCCACGCAGGCCCTGCCAAATGGAGTACCAACTTCCTCTAAGCCCGGCTCCCCTGCCCTCATTGAAACGAAGGAGCCCAACGGGAGTGCCCAAACCAGTGGCTCCACGTCGGAGGAGCCCGAGGAGCCGGATGCCCAGGTATGTGCAGGGCTGAGGGCAAACTGGGCTCACTGAGGGCTGAGGTGGGCAGGGAACAGGGTGGCAATAAGTTGCTGCAAGCATCCCGTGCTTGGGAGGGGGACCCCACCAGCAGACCAGGGTCATACCTTCCTAACCATGTAGCCATGTGCAGGTCACCCACCACCCCCATCTCCTCACTGGTTACATGATGGTGGGGTGCAGGGAGTAAGATCAAAAGAGCTGCTCAGCTCCGGGGCCTCGTCCACCTCTGATGGCCCAGAACCTTGCAGATTCGAGATCAATACAGACATCCAGAAAAAGTCTCTGGGCTCTGAAGCTGCTTGGGATATGAGACTGCAGAGCAGGGCTCGCCCTCTGGCTAGGTCCAAACCCACGGGTTCCACACCAGCGCCCTCAGAGTGAGGAATTAGCAAGCCGTCCCAGAGACCAGGGTCCCCTGGAAGAGCAGGAAGGCTGTGCCCGTTACTCACAAGCTTCCCGAGCCTCTCAGAGGTAAGTGCAGTGCGCTGGGATTGCCACCTGGGCTGCCAGTCTCCCTGTGGAAGAGCTGTTTTCCTGGTGCCCTCAGATCAGTCTCTTGAGAACAAGAAGGTAGGCGGGGCTTAAAGTGAATGAGGTTTGGGGACCAGCAGTTGGCGTAATGGCTATGTTGCTGAATTCCCATGTAGTCAATCACAGTTCGAATCCTGGATCCGGTGGCTTAAACTCACGCCGGGCGTGTGTGCGTGCGTGCCCAAGATCTCGAGAGGAGAACAGAGGAGAAGGGACTGCAGCGTGGCCATCCCCCCAGGGGGGGTGATTTCTCACTTTCTGTCCCTCTGTCTTTCTTGTGAGCACACGTGCCCTGTAGCAAAAACCTCTCAAAAAAAAAAAAAAAGTGAATCAGGTTTTTCTTGAGCACCACAATGTTCAGTAACTTCCTCATTGTGATTTTCTTGATGGAAGCAGGAAATGCAGTCGATGTAGCTCACTGACAGGCACAGACACATGTCAGCAGCCTGGTTTCTCACGTCCTCACATGGGCCAGTGTCACACTGCTGCAGGCTCTGCTTCAGGGACAGAGGGCCTTGGTGCTGGAACAGATGCACAGAGAACAGTGGGGCTGGGGGGAGCATGGATTATCAGGGGTCAGGCTGTCACCTCGGGCCACACCTGAGCCTAGGACCTGGGTGTGCTCGTTCTGCTTACAGGAGCCTGCGGCCCCGTCTCAGTGGTGTGACTGGCGGCTGTGTAGTCACGCCGAGTTCCTGTTCTCAGAGCTCGTGCTTTTTCCTGTGACTGAATAAATGGTGGTGCCCCAGCTCCACCATCCTCCCATCGGCCCACTGGCCACAGGACAGTCCTTTTTTCTCTCTGATTTTTGTTGTTGTTGAGAGAGATTTTTGTATAGGGCACATGTGTGCTCACTGGAGAGGCAGAGAGGGACAGAGACAGAAAGTGAGAAATCACTCTTTGGGGGGCTGACTACACCCTTCTCCTCCATTCTCTTCTTGGGGTCCTGGACATATACACACATGTGCCTGACCAAAGTTATTATTATTTTTTATATTTATATATATTTTTATTATTATTCATATATTAAATCGCAATATCAGCCTGAGTTTTAAGCCGCCGGGTCCAGGATTCGAACCATGGTCCAGGATGGAGAACCATGGTCGACTACGTGGGAGTCCAGCAATGCAATATTACACCATTTGCTGGTCCCCACAGGACATTTCTTTCCTCCTCCATCTTCCTCTCCAGACTGAGCCAGATGTGAGCTCCTTTCCCAGCTGCCTGAGCCCTAGGGCTGGGGTCAGGCATGCTCTGAGTTCCAGGGGTGTGGCTGTGCTCGCCCACACGTGCAGTAGGGTGCAGTCTCCTGCTGGGGGCCGGCACTCCCCCAGCGCTGCCATCAGGGCACGATGACTATGCAGATCTGTTAGGGGCCTAGGGAGGCTGAGGACTGTGGCTGTGGGGCTAGCTCCAAGCAAGGTGGAGCCAGTGGGAGCCCCGGAGAGACTTTCCTAGGAAGGACGCTTTCGGACTGAGATCAGTCCTCCTGAGCGAGCGACTTCTTTTGCTCTTTCCCCCACCCCACTCCGCCTCTCCCAAATGCACCGCTGCCCTCTGGCCCCTGGCTTACAGGCCGACAACCCCTCGTTCCCCAACCCTCGCCGGAGGCTGCGCCTTCAGGACCTGGCGGACCGGGTGGTGGATGCCTCTGAGGACGAACACGAGCTCAACCAGCTGCTCAACGAGGCCCTGCTTGAGCGAGAGTCGGCCCAGGTGTAAGTGGCCTGCCCTCAGTGCCCTAACGGGGGCGCGAGAAACCAGCCAGCGTGAAAAGGCCAGGGCAGAGCGGGCCTCTGTGGTTCATGGGCTTGTTCCCGCCACAGGGTGAAGAAGAGAAACACCTTCCTCCTGTCCATGCGGTTCATGGACCCCGAGATGGAAACTCGCTACTCGGTGGAGAAGGAAAAGCAGAGTGGAGCCGCCTTCAGCTGCTCCTGCGTCGTCCTGCTCTGCACAGCCATGGTGGAGATACTCATCGACCCCTGGTGAGGGAGCGGCTGTGGCCAGGAGGGGTGAAAGGCAGCGAGCTTCCTGGGCCCTGACCTTGTGCAGGCCCCTGGGAGCAGCCCCAGCTGGCCTCGGGCCCAGGGAATCCCCTTCCTGTCTTAGTCTTGGGGTTCTGGAACAGCCCTAGCCTCAGAACGGGGATCTCAGCAGGGCTGAGGAAGCTGAGGGACACATGTCCAGGAGGAAGGAGACCCAGGTTAGACAGAACCCAGGATGGGATGGTGCCTCAAGGCTGGCTCGGCTTCCGTTTCTAGGCTCACCTTAGTGAAGGTAGGTCTTGGGCTCCAGGCGAAGGCCGATGTCCTCTGAGAGTGAGTGTTAGTCCTCACCCCCGTGTGAAAGCCCAACCAGAAGGATGGCCACATGCTCCTTCCCCCAAGGCTTTTGACTTGGAGTGGCCTTCACCAAGGTGGAGGGGACTGTAGGCAGAGGAGAGCCGGGGAGGCACACGGACGTGCTGAGTTTGAGTAACCGTCAAGGAAGCAGCTGTGCGTGTGCCTCGGAGTTCAGGGAGAAGTCACGGTTGGAGATGCACCAGCACATAGGCCGAACTGAAAGTGTGAGACGTGGTGACATCGCCAGGGGAGGGCGCAGCCCGGAAGAGAAGCTCCGGCATAACGGACCGTACGGGGGGAGGCTGGACATAACCACCAGCGGGGACTGGAGAGATCCCTAACAGCAAACAAGAGAAGGGTTTCAGGGGGGAAGAGGCAACCAGTATCACAAGTGGAAGTAGCAATGCGGATGTTTCTGGGCTCCTGGCAAGGGCACTTTCCATGGAGCGGTTAAATGGGGCAGGTGTGGCAGGATCCGCAGACAGCAGAGTTCTGAGTTCGTGAGCTGCATGGACATGGAAGGACACGCGCTGTGAGGCTCCGTGTGGTTCAGTCTCGACCTGGGCACCCTGGGCAGCGAGGAGCCACCCCGCTCCACACTTCCATCACAGCTTGTGCCAGATGCTTGTTCCTAAGACCCCCTTTCCAAGTTTGTGCTGCACTCCCCAGGGCATGTGGGGTCTCCACTCTGGGAAACACCCCAGTTGGCAGGTACAGTGGGCGAGATGGCCCATGCCTGGGCCCGGCACTCGCTGGTGGTCCTCTGGTCAGGGCCTCTTAGTCTTGTGCACAGAAGCGGTGGCAGTTCTCTGGCATCCCTTGGAGCTTTTGGGTACAGGCCACTAGGGCTGTGCAAAGGGCCTTCCCTTCTGTCTCCTTTCCTCTCTTCTAGCCCTTCACCCACTCTTGCTTGCCCAGGCCCCTCCCCAGTTGTCTTCTCTCTGTCTGTCACAGGCTGATGACAAACTATGTGACCTTCGCGGTTGGGGAGATTCTGCTCCTGATTCTGACCATCTGCTCACTGGCTGCCATCTTTCCCCGGGTAAGAGGTGCTTTCCTATTGGGCTTAGAAGCCTCTGGAAGTGAGTAGCACCCCTGTAAAACTGGTACTGACTGAGTTGTTCTTCCAACCAGACAGTCTGTGGGGGTGGCTCGGGGATTTCCCCATGCATCCCCTCACTCCCCATCAGCTGGCAGCAGCATGGGCCGAGCTGCGGCAGGTCAGGTGTTGCAGTATGCACGAGTAGGGCTGCATGTGGATCAGAGGGACCCCAGGTTGGCCCCAGCTGAAAGGATGCTTAAAGTCAGACTAAAGGGATTAACTTTCTCCCATAGGTGCTGGTGGTGGTGGTGGGCGTGTCAGTCAGAGTTTTTGATCAGATCAGAGTGACAGGGAAAGTAGTGTTCTAGGAGAATTAATGACAGGTGGCTTGTCGGTAACTGGGAGGATTTAGGTGAATTGACCCAGGAAAGGCAGGGCTAGCCAGGCAGAGACAGCAGGCCTTGGGAAGCGATTCCTGCCCTGGCCTCACTACTGAGGTCAGGCATGCCTGTGTGTCTGCTCTGTAACTGCGAAGCCACGGAACTGCACAGACACATCGGGGAGGGCTGACTCCTGCTCTCATCTCAGCTCTGACCCACGTGACTAGTTTTCCACTGACTCACAGGCGAAGTCCTACTTTTAGGTTCTCAGGACTAGAGTGTGGGAGCAACCAGAATCGTTGGCCGTCACGTCTGCAGGAGAAAGGGCTGTCAAAAGTTCACGGCCCTTGAAATTCCATTCCCTCTAGGCCTTTCCTAAGAAGCTTGTGGCCTTCTCGACGTGGATCGATCACACCCGCTGGGCCAGGAACACCTGGGCCATGTTAGCCATCTTCATTCTGGTTATGGCGAATGTCGTGGACATGGTGAGCTCCTATTGCCCTTGTTCAAGGGACATCCCACTCCCCCTCAGTGGTTTGGCAGCAGTAACAGTTTGAACCTGCCCCTCCACCACCAGGCACAGCTGTGGAGTGGCACTTGGGCTCCTAGGCAGACCATTCCAGGTGAATGGAGGAGTCCGCTCCCTGTTGCCCATGGAGCCTCTGAAACTGACTTGGTTCCTTGAGATCTCCCCCTCCCAGAGTCCAGGCCCCTAGTTCCATGTACCCAGCCCCATGCTAGGTGCTTTACATTCATTGACTCATTTAATCTTGATCTAATCAATCTCAGGAGGTTGGTGTCATATCTGTAGTTTCATATGAAGAAACTAAAGCTCAGAAAGGCTTGATTTTTTTTTTTTTTTTTTTTTTTTTTTTTTTTTTTTTTTTTGCCATAGGGACATATATGCGTTTGTTGGAGACAGAAAGGGGTAAAGTGAGAAATCATTCCCTGAGGCGGTGGCCACCCCACAATCCCTTCTTCTCCATTCTCCTCTTTGGATTTTGGGCACATATGCACATGTGCAACCATTGTGATTTTCAAGCCGCCAGGTCCAGGACCCAACCTGTGGTTGGCCATGTGAGAGTCCAGTGCCTTAACCACCATCCCACCTGCTGGCCCCTTCTTTTAAACTATTGTTAGAGTGTGTATACACTTGCCAGAGACAGACAGAGACAGAGATGGAAAGTGCGAAAGCACCCCATGGAGGGATGGCCAGGCTGCAGTCCCTTCTCTTGGGGTTTTGGGCATGTATGCACACACACCTGGCATGTTTTTCAAACTGTTGGGTCCAGGACTAAGACCACACAGTTGGCCAAGTGGGATCCAGCTTCCTTAACCACCACACCATCTGCTGGCGCAGGCTCAGAAAGGCTAACTCACTTGCTCTAGGTCACACAGCCATTAAGTGACAGCCAGGAATTAAAGCAGCTGTTAAGTCCCAAGCCTGCATTTCATTCCTCCATATTTCACTGCTGAAGGAACACAGTACTTAGCATTCTGCACCTCTGAGGTATTCCTTAGTGTGGCTAGTGCTGGGCAGCCATCAGGACCAGGGAGGTGGCTCTTCCGTAAGGGGCTCTCCGGCTCGGCCTTGGCTCACGTGAATGACGTCAGACCTTCCCTGAGGTGTGTCAGCAGGGACTACAGCTTCACAGGGCCCAGATGGCAAAGGGGCAGAGGCATCTTCTGTTCTCTTCTCTCCTCAGTCATGGAAAAGCTGTGGGTCCTGGGTGGGTACAGCCAAATGCTTTCTTGGGGAGAAGGAACAAGAGTTAGACACCCAGATCTATTGATTTAGAACCCCCATGCAGTACTTGAGCATTGAGTGATAGGAGCTGTCACTGATGTTCTCTTGTCAGCTGTCACGGCTTCCTTCAATTTTGGTAGTATCTTATGCACTTTTTTTTAAGAGTTTTTTGCTATAGGGCATGTGTGCTCGCCAGAGACAGAAAGCGAGAAAGCACCCTGGGGAGATGGCCATGTCACAATCCCTTCTCCTCCATTCTCCTCTCGGGATCCTGGGCATGCACGCATGCATGCACGCAACCCAGCATGAGTTCAAGCCACTGGGTCCAGGATTTGAACCGTGGTCAACTACATGGGAGTCCAATAACATAGCTGTTATGCCAACTGCTGGTCCCATGCACTTTTTTTTTTAAAGAGGTTTTTGTTTTTTTTTTTTGCTATAGAGCTCATGCGCTTGTCAGAAAGAGAGAGACAGAGAGACAGAAAGCAAGAAATCACCCCCCCCCAAGGGAGGATGGCCATGCTGCAATCCCTTCTCCTCCATTCTCCTCTCGGGATCTTGGGCACACACGCACATGCGCCAAGCGTGAGTTTAAGCCACTGGGCCCAGACTTGAACCGTGGTCAATTACATGGGAGTCCAGTGACATAGCTGTTATGCCAACTGCTGGTCCCAGGATCTTATGCACTTTTTAAAAAAGTCCTTTCTTTCAAATGTAATATAGTTACCTTATTTTCCATATTTTCTTTAACCATTTGAGCACAGGGACAAAGTCTCAGCATGAAGGCTTATTCTGGCAGTAGCATGGGTAGAAAAACTCTAGTTCTGTAGCTAATCAATCAGAAGCCCAAGTGGAATGGAGTTAGGAGTTCGAGGGCCTAACATGCCCATGGTGGCATAGTGCCCATCACACAGGGAGAAGCGCCATATTCTTAGCCTGTGAGAATACCTGTGCGCCTGGTGCCCCGGTCTGAGGACCAGTATTTAACAAAGCCGTGGACGCTCTGCAGGACGTCTGAAGAGGCTATCACCTGTGGGTGTAGGGTGGTGAAAAGCTAGGGAGGTATGAGATCCTGCCCAAAGCCAGATGATCCCTTGTGAGTGAAAGCCACAGAAGTGGAGTTGATTACATTTGTGGATGCACCTTCGATGGACTCCTGCCCAGCAGTGGTTATCTGGTGCACAGACCCCAGAAAGTAGTAGAAAGCTCCTAATTGGTGTGTTGAGTAGAGAGTGGCTGTCACCCCCAGAGACAGAAGGCAGGCTGGCCAGCCCCGGATGCCCCTGAAGCCACAGGCTGATGTAGGCATGAGCATGCTGACTCAGAGCCTAAAGCCCTTGCTCCTGGTCTGACTTGAGTGCTTGCTAGTTGTGCTAGCCTGTTTTCTATGTAAAGGCAGCACTAAAAATGCTGGGGGGAACTTGTGAACCTCAGAAGAGATGATGGTAAAGCTCTTAGTAGCTCGGCCAACGTTTGTACAATTACTCCGTGATAAATCTCCCCATCTTTCTGGGAGTTCCTAAGGGAAGTATGGGTGGTGCTGGGGGCACAGCCTCCTCTAACCAGCGTGTCCTGTCCTGATGGCCCTGGCATGCAGCTCAGCTGTCTCCAGTACTACGCGGGACCCAGCAACGGGACAGCAGGGGTGGAGCTGGAGGATGGCTGCCTGGAGAACCCCAAGTACTACAACTATGTGGCTGTGCTGTCGCTCATCGCCACCATCATGCTGGTGCAGGTCAGCCACATGGTGAAGCTCACGCTCATGCTGCTTGTCACGGGCGCTGTGGCTGCCATCAACCTCTATGCCTGGTGCCCCGTCTTTGATGACTACGACCACAAACGTTTTCAGGAACATGGGTATGATGTCTGATGGGAGATCTGTATGATCTCTTTCCTCCCCCACCCCCAAATCTCCATTTCAGGGTTACAGCCTGCACTCAGATGGCTCTTCAAAGGCTTGTATGGGAAGCACGGTTTCACAAAGATGTGTCACTGGCTGGCTCTGATGTGGGGACAGAGCCTTTCCGCAGTGGGGGGAAGACTCAGGCTACCTCCGTGCTTAGTGGAGCACCAGCCATCTGTACCCATGTTGGGCCTGAGAGTGCTCTTGTCTGTCCCACAGCTTTCCAGTGGTGGCCTTAGAGAAGATGCAGGTGTTGTCCCCCTCTGGGCTCAATGGCACTGACAGGTAAGAGCTCCTGCTCTATTGCATTTACAGTCTTCCTTCTAGAAACAGTGACTGCCTGGGGGAGTCTAGACTTGACGTGAAGGCGTCTGAGGAGCTGGGGAAGCTGCTGGGGCTAGTGACAGAAAACCGCACGGCCCAGTTAGAGGGAATAGCACCGGTCCCGGGAGGCCGCCCGCACGTTCTTCCAGTTGCACCCCTCTGCCCAGCAGGCTGCCCCTGGTGCCTTCCAAGTACTCGATGACAGTGATGATGTTCATCATGATGCTGAGCTTCTACTACTTCTCCCGCCACGTGAGTGCCACACGCCCTCTCCCTCGCGCTCACAGCCCACCAGGGCCTCCTGGGAAGTGATCCCAGGACCTAAGAACCTGGCTAGGCTCCTGAGGAATGTAGGTTCCCTCTACCTAACATGCGACCCTGACCAAGCCATCACCTTCTGTGTTCTGGTTGCTTCCTCAGTAATACAAAGACATTCTTTACTTCTTCCTTCTTACCTCCTGTGGGATGTTGAAGGCAGTATGATGGGTGGGAGAGGGTGGAGCACTGGCCCAAAAGCCTGGATAAAAATCTATCCCTAGTCTAGGGGTTCATGGCCTCTGTGCTAGCCCTGGCACTGGGGGGGGGGAGGGTGTCACTAATATACCACAGAGCTAGAGAAAAAAAGAAGCCAACTAGATTTTCTTTGGTTAAAAGAGAGAAATGGGAGAAAGACGATGCGCTCAGGTGCCCCCTAGTGGCTTTTTTGGGGAGTGCAGCCCTTTTTTGCGCCACCTAGGTGCCCCCTAGTGGCTTGCTAGGGAAGTACAGCCTTTTCTGCAGCCACTTACTGGAGTCTGCCGGCAATGGGCTGGGAGATCCCCAAGGCTGCCCCAGGGCAGTCTTGTAGCTAAAACCAGATCCCAGGAAGCCCCATATATACAGAAGGCCTGTTGGATCTCTGCTGTTATTACAGGGGCCAGGATCCTCACTACAGCTGTAGGGTGGCCTTTTTGATTAGGCAAGGGTCTTACTTCCCTTCCTATGTAAGCCACCTTATTCCAGTTTTTCCAGTGGAACTGCCACTCACACTCATTTCTCATCACGGCCACACTGTCATAGCCACCTTAGAGCATATGCCTTGCTTTGTCTGCATCTAGGTGGAAAAACTGGCACGGACACTGTTCTTGTGGAAGATTGAGGTCCACGACCAGAAGGAACGTGTCTATGAGATGCGACGCTGGAACGAGGCCTTGGTCACCAACATGCTACCCGAGCATGTGGCTCGCCATTTCCTGGGGTCCAAGAAGAGAGATGAGGTGGGAGTGTGGCCTCGTGCAGGAGCCTGGAGCCCTGCCTGAGACATTTGTAGCTATTTTCTCCCAAGGAGCCCCTGTGGGACCAGGCCTTTCCATGACATGGGCCGGGGCCCAGGTAGAGCTGAGCCTAACCGGAACCCACAAAGAGAAGAGTTTCTCGGGCCTTTTCCAGGGGGCACTGCTCTACACATTGTTTATCTGGGACACATCTCTGAGGCCGAGATTCCAAAGAGGAGTCCTTAGCTAAAGCCAGCCCGTCAGCTGTGATCTCAAAACAAAATGGCTCCCAGCCCCTGCATCCTCCTCCTCATAGCTGGGGCTGCTACACTACAACAGCTGTTCTTTGGTTTATTCGAAGTAGGGATGAAATGTTTTCTGAGTTTCCAAAGGGATAATCAGAGATGTGTGAGTCCAAACAGCTGAGTGCACACACATGTGGAAGGTAGGCTCCTTTCTCTGGGACATCTCCCAGGCAGTCGGCATT